GGGGAGGGTGGAGTGGAGTGGAGTGGAGTGGAGTGGAGTGGAGTGGAGTGGAGTGGAGTGGAGTGGAGTGGAGTAGAGTAGAGTAGAGTAGAGTAGAGTAGAGTAGAGTAGAGTAGTGAAGAGTAGAGTAGAGTAGAGTAGAGTAGAGTAGAGTAGAAACTTCAGTTAGGTAGGGTATCTGTCCATTTTTGACTGCTCCTTGCTCTTCTCCAAGGTCACGACGTTTACTCGCATCATTACAAAGGTCATTTATCATTACTATAACAGTTTAAAGAGACTCTTTTTACACAACCAAGTGTTTTATTCACAGTCGACGTTCCGGTGACCGTCTGTCACCTTCCTCAGGGCAATTCTAGACCTGACTGGTTCACATTGCACTACACTTAAATATTCTGCATTTCCTTTTCAAATGTTACTTTTCTAGTTTTTATGGCATCTTTACTTAATTTTGTTCCCATTACTCAATTTCCTTTTCCGGTAAGCCAAACTCAAAGCGACACTTCGGATGGTCAGAGAGCCGCTGTACAGTAGTGGTGAGAGTCCCGCCTGTCGTCTATGGATGTCCTGAAAGAATTAGCAGGGATGACATATAGAATGATTTAGTAAAGACAAGGTTGGTGACAGGAGAAATGATGATCTACAGACTTATTCTGAATGATAGTTAAGCTTCGCCATGTTTAGTAGATGGAAGGGTTTCAGGAAATAGTGAGGATACAATAAGTACCTGGAGCAGCCTGGCATATGAAGTAAAACTGCCGGTCGCAGTAATAGTCAGCCCACTTGTCTTTCAGGGATGATCGCCCGGAGTAACGGACGCAATCTGCCCTGCCCCCGTAGTAGTTGTCCGGTTGTCCCGGAGACCAGTTGTTGTACGACCCAAGTGCAGAACCGTCCACCCACTCAAACCTTCCCTCTTCGCGCTGATAGTGCAGGCCGATCCAGAAGCTCCTATCTTCGCTCACGGACTTGTACAGGGAGATGAGGAAGGCGTTGGTCCCGGCGTCTCGGGGCATGGCGAGGGCGCCGCCGTCTGCACGACAGGCCGCCGCCGCATGGTCGAAGGTCCTGGCTGTGTTGAAGGCCTTGTAGCAGATTCCACGCCACTTGGTGTAACCTTCGGGACAAGATGCTGGAAAACACGTTTTGTTTCAGCAACAGGCAAATCATGACATACATGAATTAGATGCATCGTGAAGAATAAATGTACCAAAATGTACCAAAACCATTTACGTAAAGTCTTCCGATTCTCAATCTCGTGAAGACGCTGCTCCAAGGTGGCGGTCCGGTTGCGCTCGTTGTCCAGGTCGCGCTTCAAGGCGTCAACAGTGGTGGACATGTCTTCTTGGTCGCGCTTCAAGGCGTCAACAGTAGTTGTCAATTGGGATATTTCCTAAAAATGTGTATACACATGTCAGAAACAAACATGAAAATAGCAGCTAATATTTTGTACCCCCTTAAAAATTTGATGACAATGAGAAACATTCCTGTACAACAATAGTAGAAGGCTGTTACCTGCTTGTTGCTGAACGTCAGAGGGGCGAGTCCCACGGCGCACAAGCTCAGTAGCACGGCGATGCTGGCTGCCAGGCAGCTGCGGCGGGCGCGGAGGAAGCTACAGACACCCCGGCGGCCGCTCGCTCCACCTGGATACGCGCGGTCTGGTAGAAAAACATATTTCGCTCACTGATAATCGCTCACGTCAACATGTAAACATTGTCATCAAATTTACCCATACAGCAAAATATACAAAAGTCGGGAAGTGTTCTTATACCCTCTACAGCAAAAAAGCTCTCATGATAGTACAAATAACCACTTTAAAAAGCAGGTGTGAAAAACGTCGGTTACTTGCAGACGTTGCGTAACGTTTCACCTCCTCGGCGTCTTCGTACGTGTGTGAAGACGTGTCCTGGTCTTCCTGCTCCTTGTCAGAAGCGCCGTTGCCATGGCGGATACGCCCGCGTGAACCACTCTGACGGACGGAACGGGGTTGGGGCGGCCCGCTGGTTTGGCGGCTGTCGGGGCCGGAAAAAGGCGACCGGACAGGCTCTGCCTGCTCGTACATTTTGACTGTGCAGACAGGTACGCAGTACAACAGCTAACGTCAAGGCGCATGCATATACACAAGGATGTCAAGATTGGTCTGAAAAGGAAGGATATTTTTGCCCTTATTTGGAGGGGTGACGTGGTATGACGTCTTGCCTATGGCATTTTGTTTTTCTGCAAGAGCCAGACTAATTTTCGGGGGAAAAAAGTAATCTGAGCTGGTAGGCAGAAACATGAAACACGCATCTATTAAAATATAAGAGAGAATTCTTATTGTAATCTGTGAATTTTTGTGACTTTTACAGACATGTGCGCATGCACTAACGTTGTCATACATACATGTAGCAGACATGCCCAAGCCCCCTCCCCACTTCTTTGGTTGCCGACAAAATAGTAGATATGACAGTGGCAGAGATACTCAGGGTGGACAGAGGGACAACCAGGGTAGTTGACCGAGTTGACCGAGTTGACCGAGTTTGACCGAGTTGACCGAGTTGACCGAGTTGACCAGGGTAGTTGACCGAGTTGATCGAGTTGACCGAGTTGACCGAGTTGACCGAGTTGACCAGGGTAGTGGACCGAGTTGACCGAGTTGACCGAGTTGACCAAGTTGAACGAGTTGACCGAGTTGACCGAGTTGACCGAGTTGACCGAGTTGACCGAGTTGACCGAGTTGAACGAGTTGACCAGGGTAGTTGACCGAGTTGACCGAGTTGACCGAGTTGACCAGGGTAGTTGACCGAGTTGATCGAGTTGACCGAGTTGACCGAGTTGACCGAGTTGACCGAGTTGATCGAGTTGACCGAGTTGACCGAGTTGACCGAGTTGACCAGGGTAGTGGACCGAGTTGACCGAGTTGACCGAGTTGACCGAGTTGACCGAGTTGACCAGGGTAGTGGACCGAGTTGACCAGACTAATTTTCGGGGGAAAAAAGTAATCTGAGCTGGTAGGCAGAAACATGAAACACGCATCTATTAAAATATAAGAGAGAATTCTTATTGTAATCTGTGAATTTTTGTGACTTTTACAGACATGTGCGCATGCACTAACGTTGTCATACATACATGTAGCAGACATGCCCAAGCCCCCTCCCCACTTCTTTGGTTGCCGACAAAATAGTAGATATGACAGTGGCAGAGATACTCATGCTGTTTTCTTCCTTTTGAATATCATTTTTAAGTGGAATAGAGGGACTTATAGGTTAGATATCTCATTTTTACCTCTATCTGTATTTAATACTGAGGTGATATTTTATTTCTTACAACACAAGATTGGCAATAAGGATTGTTACCATGGCGACGCTTTCAAGTTTTAATTGGTATTTATTCAAGGTTTCAGTCTCGTGCGTTACAAAACAACATATGGGTATAGTTCGCCCACGAAAAGACATCTACTGGTGTCCATTGTTAACATATTGCTTTTTCTCTGTTTCTTCTTCGTCAAACAAATGAATTCAGTAATCTTGACCAGGCCTCTATCACCATGGTGACCGGTGCTTTAGGAGCAGGTTACATAATGCAGCAAGTGGCAGTTACATATACAAACAGAGCAGTAGCAGGCTAGGCCATCTGAAGGTTGACATTCTGCATTTGCCTTTCAAATGTTACTTGTCTAGTTTTTATGGCAACTTTATGTTGCTCATCACTGGCAGTTAAAATTTCCTTTTCCGTGCTCAGGACATAAGGAGGAGGCGGGAAGCCAACCCCAAAACGACACTTCACTTTCTTGGGTTGAAGTAATAAAGAGAATGTCTAGATTATTTGGAATATACAACTCTAGATTATACATGTAAATATGTCAATCATGTAATGATACAGACATGAAACGTAAACTGTAAATTCTCTCCGTGTGGAAACTGAAGCGTGAAAACAATAGTACAGTACTGCTTCATTACATTACATTCAATATTTCTCCTCTGCAGGCTTTTTTTTTCTATTTGCTACAATTTTCACCTGAAAACAAGGCTCATGCAAACAACTAACAATGTTTTCGGTTACAAAATGTGACGAAATGGCATCTACAGGAGTCCCTTGTCAACAAATTGTTTTTGTTCTATTTCTTTTTCTAGTTTTTATGGCAACTTTCCTTTATGTTGTTCCCATTACTCAGTTGAAGTTTCCTTTTCCGTGACCTGTACAGAAGGAGGCGGCGGGAAGCCAAGCCCAAAACGAAACTTCACTTTCTTAGGTTGAAGTAATAAAGGGAATAGATTGTGTGCAATATACAACTCTAGATTATACAAATGTCAATCATGAAGTTATGGACTTGAAAAGTAAACTGTAAATTTTCTCCGTGTGGAAACTGAAGCGTGGCTACAATAGTACAGTACTGCTTCATTACATTACATTCAGTATTTCTCCTGTGCAGATTTTTTTCTATTTGCTACAATTTTCAACTCAAAACAAGGATTATGCAAACCACTCACATGTTTACAAAAAGGGTTACAAAAAGTGACGAAATGTCATCTACAGGTGTCCCTTGTTTACATATTGTTTTCGTTCTATTTCTTTTTCTAATTTTTATGGCAACTTTCCTTTGTGTTGCTCATCAGTTACAGTTGAAACTAAAGCGTGGCTACAATAGTACAGTACTGCTTCATTACATTACATTCAGTATTTCTCCTGTGCCGATTTTTTTCTATTTACTACAGTTTTCGCCTCAAAACAAGGCTCATGCAAACCACTAACATGTTTTGGGTTACAAAAAGGGACTGTAAAGACGGATGTTTGTTTACCTCAAACTTGAAAAGTTTAAGGTTGTATCCATTTAGAAAGCATTCACAGTGAAGCTTGTTCTATAGTGATGTACATGTAGTTCCAGGAACGAACCTTTCAGCTTGGAACTTTCTCATGAGAGATGGAGTATTGGAGAAGATAGATTTGCTTCCGTAATAGTAGGAAAACTTGCCAAAAAAGTTCAAAGTGGGGAGGGGGGGGCACAAGCGAGTGAGGCACAAATGCGATCAATCAGACTTGTGTTAACATATAGAAAATACTTATGTTTTAGCCTGAAGCTTTAATAGTTATTTTAAGTTTAAGTTTACTAGTTTATTCCAATGTTTAATGGTATTTAGTTAAAGTCAGTTTGACTGCGGATGGTCAGAGAGCCGTTGTACAGTAGAGGTGAGAGTTCCGCTTGTCTGCTATGGACATCCTGAAAAAAAGTAGATCAGAATTATTAGGGATGAGATGTGAAATGGTTAGATTTAGTAAAAGCATGGTTTGTGACGTGACGGGTACTTAAAGCTTTACCATATTTACAAGATGAAAGGGTTTCAGGAAATAGTGAGGATACAATAAGTACCTGGAGCAGTCTGGCATATGAAGTACATCAGCTGGTCGCAGTTTCTGTCGGACCACTTGTCTTTCCAGGCTAAGTACGCGGAGTAAATGACGCAATCTGCCCTGCCCTCGGCCTCATAGTCGTCCGGTTGTCCCGGACCCCAGGAGCTGTACGACCCAAGAGGAGAGCCGTCCATCCACTCAAACTTTCCCTCTTCGCACCGATCGTGCAGG